TATAGTCATAAATACAGATAATTAATTTAAAAAAGGAATTGCACAATTATTGTATGGCGAGGATTCTGATTTCAGATTATACTGTCTGTACAGCATAATCTGAAATCTGAGTCCTCAGACCAGCTAGCAATATTGTTGAAAATATGTATATCATAACCCTGGGTTAATAAAGACACCTGTGATCAGATGTCAAAAGTGCTTTTATCACTAACACGAACTACATAAAACAAATTAGGTATATGTGAAATTTTGTAACTCCCATTTAAGCGTATAAAGTATTCTACGAATTTCTTTCTTAGAATCTTTAAACCTCTCTCCTGAAAAATTGTCATTTTTGCAAATGTGACTTTTTTACACAAAGGGTGACATTTATAACATGTGGCCAAAATCCGTTCAGTTATTTAGACATGATTGAGTAAGCGCCCAGTTACACGAAGAGAAAGTTTTCGCGCAGTTACCACGCTTTCATGTACATTAAAGGCGAATCTGAATTCTATTTACAAGGCAACAACATTTAAATTTAAATTTAATTTAAACTATTTTTCAAAATTTCAATCGCGTATATTTGTTTTTTCAAACAAACCAACGTTTCGGGCCCTTTACAGGTCCCATGGTCACCGTTCACTATTTGTGGTTAACATTTCAATTCCTCTGAATAATACAACCGCGCGGTCGACCAAATTCATAAGAGTCTCACCCGTGTGTCCGGGACGCTCATTTAAATTAAAACGTAAAAGCTAAGTAAATATAGCGTATTTTACCATGACAGTTAGACGCACGCGGACTCCGCTCGGCGACCGCGCGGGATGAAATTCGTGTAGAATAAATGCTAATGCTATGCCTAATAATATTTGTTACTTTTATTTATTTATTTATTTATTTATTCATACATTGCAAACTAACAGCTAAGTAGCCAAAGCGCTTACAAGTCATACAATTATTATGATAAGTATTACAATTCAAAAAATAGTTAACAGCAAATTATTCTAGTCCTTATTCTAACATTTTATGATAACGCTGACTACACAATGTTCCCTACATTCTGAGAGACATCTCTCTACATATATAGCCAACGCGATCAGCGAATAAATCAATTGAGTCACATTGAGTGAGTATGTCCCCGATCAGGCTTATTGCGCGAATGGTAGGCGCGTTTTCAGCGTACAATGTGCGCGTGCGGGCCTTGCCTAACAGCCGTGGATATCGGCGCGGGGCCACCGCACCCTCATCACTCCACAGGATACGAGTGGGCACCAACAGATCCACCTTACTTATTATGTCACTATCCACTATCCACTATCCAGCCAGCAGCTGCATCTTTCGCCTCCGAGACAAAGTGTCCAACTCTACCATACCCGAAACAAAAAGCGATGGATACAAGTACGAGTAATACCCGTACTGCCGTTTATAAAGCCAACGTGCAAACTTACGCTGAACTCGTTCCAACATTATAGAGTATCTATCTTCATAAGGGTCCCAGACTACAGCTGCATATTCCAGCTTGCTGCGTACGTAGGCGCTGTACAACATCCTCGCCACAGCCACATCATTGAATTAAATGTTACTCAATCGTCATCAAATAGCAAACATTTGAAACTTCGCATTTATCATAATATTAGCACATTAGCGTACTCTGCGCCTGACGGACTCACCACATTTATCGCCTTGAGCCGGTCAGGTCTTGTGCGAAAAAGACGTAGCGCGTTTCGCTTCCGCTCGAGCCGCCCGACCCGAAACGTGCTACGTCTTTTTCGCGTAATTAATTGCTTAACGCGGTTTCGTATCGAAAAGTGTGATGGCAAAAACCATATTAAATTCATATGTAATATTTATCTTGACATTTGATTGAGCAATTCTAAAATTATTTTTAGGTGAATCCGCCTTCTTAGGATACGTTTATCAAATGACGTATTCAAGTGTAATTTGTTTATCTACGTAATAAAGATACAATGGCTTTATGTCCTGTTGTATTTGGCTCCTGTTCTGTCCTGAATAATGTTGTAATAAGGGACAATTTTGAATAGAGAGGTACCTACGTAGGTTTAACTAGCAAAAGTTTAGGGAATATCACGTCTCTTTGTAAAGCTTCTACAAAATTCTTTGATATTGTAGAAGTTATTCATCATTATGTTATTGTGTACAATGAAAAGAAAACAATCAACAATCTAATCAGCATTATATCAAAATGAATTAGTTCGCAAACATTCCAATTACTCATTCTTGCTAATAAAATAAGTAACATAATGCTTAACAACAAATAAAAAAGGGTTTTGTTGGAAATAAAAATGTGATTTTATTGAAAGCATGAATATGTAAAGAATAAATCCTCATAATCGTATAAGTCAAATGGTTTTTAACCGACTTCAAAAAAAGGAGGAGGTTCCACTGTATCTTTTTTGTTTGTATGTATGTTATTAGTGAACCGATTTTTTTTGTAGGAAAGAGGGTAGGTACCTCAGCCGTGGTCCTATTTAAATTTGAAGAAAATATTCCACCTCTAAAAATAGCAAACTCGGGGATTAATGACTTTGGAGGTCAGTTTTTTATAAGAAAATAAGTACTCATTTGACCGCCAGGTCACCTGATGGAAAGCGGCGATGTAGCATGCACACTTAAATAACACCTATTTACCCTCGTTTTGAAAAGACCCAAGTTACAGCCTTTTGGGTACCATGTCTGCGACACTGTAAGCGACACACCTGTCCACAACCGCTTGTCACTCTGAGAAAAAACAAATGTAGAGTAGAGACTTTAACTGCGAGAGTCGGCTGCATTCGATGGGAACGATAGTCCGAGAATCAAAAGTAGCAGTTGACATTCTTAAGGAGATTTTTTGTGTCTGAATTAAGTTGATGTTTCGTAGTAACAGCAAAAGAACGATTAAATACTTGAGGGTTTCAAGTTAGTAGTAAAACAATAACATGATTGGTGAAAATTGGCGCATAGGACTTGCCAACTTATGTCTCAGGGTGACGGGCGCAGTGACAGTGCCCCTCAGATCTTTGCGATTTAAAGCCCATGAGTGGCACTACAATGGTAATGGACAGGCGTGTAGCTTACCATCAGGTGAGCGACTTGTTCGTCCCGTCAGTTGATATTATAAAAAATAAAAATAAAAAGTTTTCTCTACAGATTGTATCATTTGCATAATTATTTTTTTTGTAGAGGCACATCGGTATACATATATTTTTGATTGCAAATTCCACCGCAGAGAATGGTCGGGGATTATGGACTTGCACTTGTTGACAAATCATATTTGAGGATTTCAAGATATAATATGTTTATTTCCTTGATAAAGAGTAAATTTTATGTGGAAACGTGGCTATATTGAAATATAATATCGACTGTGAACTGGCAATCGGTGCTATCTCAATTTTGACAACTTGGAATAAGCGCGCGCTATTGGCTGTCGAAATCAGTTGTAATTTAGATAGCCAATAGCGCGCGCTTATTTTAATTTTATCGCGCGTGTCGCGACTTTCATGCGTAGCCATGCTAAGGGGGCTGGTTTATTAAACAAAAACACGTAGTTTTTAAATATTTTTATTACATATGTATGTATGTACACTACGTATTTTTGTTTAATAAACCAGATGCTATATAAATGATTTTTCTTCATCCTGCAAAAGTTGTCAAAATTGAGATAGTACCAGTTGCCAGTTCCCTGTCGATATGACGACCTCAGTGGCTCAGCGGTTTGCACTATGAGCGTTAGATGAGAAAGTCCTGGAGGAGTAATTTGGGAAACGCACTTTTAAAAAATTAATTAGTGCTATGCTAGTGTTCTGGCCCTGTACTCTCGTTCTCCGTCCAACATTTGTCCGAACCAATTACTGTGAAATAAGCAATAATCGACAAAATTAAAAAGCACATGATGCGAATGAAGCTTCATACTTGACATTGTTTTTTTATTTGGTCGAGTATTACTTATTTGACAGTAATTGTTTCGGTCAGATGTCGCACAGTGATTTAAAACTCGATCTAAGTTTGTAATTAATTTATTGTATGAGAATTAATTTTGGAGGTATCCAATTCAAAAATTTATTTTTAAATTGCTCTATGCACAACACGCTAAATAAATTTATGTACTTGTTGGCAAACCACATTATATATAAAAACATATAACCAATTTAAACTAATACGTAGTTCCATACAAAATGTTTATGAAAAGAGGCCAACATATGGTCGCCTTGTTTTATCGTAGCTAGGGATTTATTGATTGTTAAATATTTTGACAAATCATGATGAAAAATAATTCGAAACTAATTATAATGCGGCAATCATTTTGTCCAGTTATTTGTGTGGGAGTGTGTCGGCTGGCGAGAGTAGACCCACAGGTTAATACCTCAGCGTTCATACCTGTGCTCTGGTACTCATAGTACTGGGAATATCCTACTTTAAGGCTAGATTATTGGTATGATAGTCTGACATAATTACTATTTTATTTTATTTTCCTTTTGGCTGGTTTTAACCACATTTGCAGGCCGCAATCACGTAAATGCAGCGTGGTATGTATCCATGCTGAGGGTGTGTTATAATAACAGCCTATTTTGTCTTCTTCTATCTGCGTGAACTTGCTGACACCTCAAAGGTTGAGCTGGATAAAATAGCATATGATGGATCGTTCGATGGACATAAATTATTGTATTGTATTATATTTCTTTCATCGACTTAATTCGACTGTACTTTATAGTGTATTTGTTATTTGTTATTGTAGTGTTAGTGTATTTGTTTATACATTTGAGAAACGATTTTGATGATTCTTTTTTTTTTGGAAAGAGGGTACCTCAGTATTGGTCCCAATTCAATTTAAAGAAATTATTCCACCTCTAAGGGTGGCAAACTAGGCGATGAATTTTCGGTTTCGCGCACTCCGGTAACCGATTTCAATAAAACTTGGCAAATAGATGTAGTTCCACGCACTTTTGAGGTCATTTTCATTTTTTTATAAAAAGTTATGTAATATATGACCCGTTGTTCGTGAATAAGGTAAAACTCACCTTGAGACATTTGAGGCAGAAGGTATGCTGGCAGGGTAGCACTCGCGAGGAGGTGTCGAGCCGCTCCAGGCACACTGAGCACTCCAAAAGGTCGTTCAGTAGACCCTCATCCATCACTACGCGACTAAGCTGTAATGGAACAAATAATCTAATCAATATAGTCGTTTTCTTTGATAATTATCATAATAATTATTTGATAATAAAAATGGAAGTAAATTATAATAATAACACACACACTCGAAGCTCCGCACTAAGGAAACCATGTATCGCGGGTGCCATGGACACACACGTGTAGACAAACACAAATTACATCCAAGCTCATGAGAGAAATAAATGTAGGCCATACAACTATTTCTCTCGGCCCGGGAATCGAACCCGGGACCTCTGCGTCACAGTCCAGTATGGTAACCGTTCGGCTACGGAGGCAGTTCTATTAATTTGCTATTCCGCGAACCAGTAGCGAAGTAGTAGACTAGCACGATAGGGCGCGACTAGCGCGAGAGCGACATAGAGCGCGAGAGCGACATAGAGCGCGAGATACTGCTATTTTCGCATAGAGATTCGCATTTCGATTTCGCATAGAGATCGCAAGTCGCGCATTATCGTGCTACTCCCACTGGTGAAGGTTAAATTTTGTAAAGTTGCTGCGCTTGTGCAGAATATTTTATCATTCCGTTCATTTTCCCACCCTCATTCCGCATAAAGTTAATAAAATAAATAACACAGTTACAGTACCACCACCAAAAATATACCCGACACGTGTTTCGCCTCTCTACGAGGAATCCTCTAGGGTTGTGGATTGTTCGACACTCGGCCGAACTTCTTCGGCCGAGTGTCGAACTCTTTGAATAAGTAATAAGAGAAGTAGCTTAGAAATGTTACATTTTCTTTGCTCTTCTTTTTATATAAAGGAGCAAAAATTACGTTTTCACGAACTTACAATGCATCTTCAGCATTAATAAAATTTACACTATGGATTGTTGATGGATTGTCATCTTTTTTAAATCCTGTTTTTAGATATGCAAGTATTCGGCCGAATTTAATATCTGAGTAAATTTTTTTACGATATCAAGTGACGGGGCGAACAAGTCGTGCGCCTGGTAGTAAGCGACACATCTATCCAAGACACTTTCAGTGCCACTCTGAGTTTTAAATCGCGAAGAACTGAATGCCACTATGCCCGTCACTTTGATATATAAGTTGACAAGTCCCATGTGAATATAATTTCGCTATAACGCTCCAGTATGGCTTAGCAGCAATAATGTTTTTTTATTTCCTCTTATTTTTAGGTATTCGGCCGAATAGTGATTCAATAAACCGAATCGAACGAAAGTGACCGAATATTCGTTGCGACTAGTGGATGGCAGTTTTTGCTGAATTAGATCCCAAATTATCTTGAACGTAGGGCTATCTCTGGTGCCAAATTATACTCGAGTGTGTTTTGTCTTTTTCTTTTCCGATTCCCATCAGTTCCGAATCCGAGAAATAACGGTCCGAAATGTCACAGGTGGCCGTCGACTATATAACCAGAAATAGAGACGAAATAACGGCCATCCATCCCTGTCAACTTATCGGGTAAATGGGCCCTATATCACTTTTACATATCAAGTCTCGTTTGCACTGAAATCACAAATTAGAAAACTGAAACAGTACAGCGCCAACAACTGACCTGTGTGTACGTCTCCGTCTATTCCAAAAATATTCTCTATTTATTTGGCTGTGTGGGGGCTATTCCATTCGATGATATGGAAAAACAGCAAAACATCTAATTACAAAACAAACGGAATCACATCTCACCGGTAATTAAACATTAAATATATGTAATTTCGCAATTGTCGTTCATTATAGCAAAGCTCAAGTTAAACTGGACATTTGAAGTGAAGCAATTGACGACACCCGTCAATTGTTTCGAATTCGGGCTGTCAATCGGAGCGCAGTTGTCACAGTAATGATTTGGCAGAATAGTTTTCAAACAAATTAAATGACATTTCGTCTCTATTTCTGGTTATATACTCGATGCAGGTGGCGGAAGTGTCGTTTTATCTCTAGGTGCGATATTTGTATTTTCTCGGATTCGAATAGGAGTTACAAGGAATAGTAGTTAATAAGAGTTATAGCACAAGTGACATCCGAGGTCAGAGTTTTCTAGATTTGTATAATCTCCAGAGGTGCCAGATGAGGCGATTTTACGCCATTTCGATAACTTCGAGGGATCGTGAGGCGACTAAAGAAGTGATCGGCGACTCGACGATATTTAAGCTACGTTTGAAATAGGAAATGGCGATTTTAGGCTACTTAATAAAATGTCTGGGGAATTACAAACTTGATTGGGGATTATGTGGGGAATGGAGTTGTAAAACAACTCATTTGGGGGTTTGAGTATTTCTACGTGTGGAGAATTAGGGAAATAAGAGAGTTCATATTCCCCAATTTCCGGCAGCAAGCAGAATTGTAGAATTATTTTCATTGATTTTTATGGATTTTATGACTTGGGCGAATATCGGCTACTTAACACACATAAATGTGCTAAGGTATCTGAAAATTCATATTCGTGCCTTTTGTAAGAAATAAACAATATTTCAGCGTTCTACACCAATTACCCCTTAAAGTAAAATAGGGGATGAGTAAGCTACTCGAAATAATAATAATAATAATAACGTTTATTCCTCCACAAAAATACGTACATATAGTTCTTAGTAATTTAAGATACATGCAATAACTTATTTTTGGGAGCTGGTGCTTGTTAAAGGCTTAACGCCTGTACTACAAGTCACCAGGCTCTCATCCTTAGAACTGACACATGACAATCTTAAGGTATTACTAAGATTAATTGTTTATAAAGAAAAAACATTTAAATAGTGAAAAAATACATTTGACATTATTGAACTATATACACCTAAAAGATCAAACTCAAATTAAAATTAAATTTAAAATTTTCATGATGTTGGCGTCTGCCACATGACAAAGACATTTAAAAATATAAATTAGCTTACGGATGCGCGCTGACAGTAGATGTATGTATTGTCTAAAGTTGAGTGTAGAGTCAAGTAGCAAACCAAGATATTTTATGCTGTTGACAGTTTTCAAAACGACAGCCTCAGATCCCGGCACCTGGGTGGAGATAACAGTAAACTTAAGATAATTTTGCGGTAGAGTATGGTTACGAAAAAGGCACCACTCTAGTCTTGTCCACATTAAGTGTGAGCAGATTGTCTTCTAGCCACTCCCTCATCACGTCAAAGCCCGACTGGGCGGATTGATAAACTTCATACCAATTTACCCCGGTGAATATCAGTGCAGTGTCATCAGCATATGAGAAAATTTTACAGTTTTGAAGTTGTAAATTACAAAGGTCATCAATATACACCAGGAAAAGAGTAGAACCCAGAATACTTCCCTGAGGGACCCCAAAGGTGATAGGTTGGGAAACGCTAGTATAATCACCAATTCTAACACATTGGGACCTACCTGTGAGATAGCTCTCAAAAATATTTAACTGCAGGCCCCTCAGTCCCAATGCCTGGAGCTTATGCAGAAGTCGGGGTATTGAAACAGTATCAAAGGCCTTAGCCAAATCCAAAAACACACCAAGACACCCGTACCGCTTATCCAAGCTGACAACAACATGATCGACCAAATTATGGACTGCGTCAGAAGTGGATCTACCCCTTCGAAACCCGTACTGGTTATCTGATAGAAATTGGCCAGTTTCCAGATAATTTACCAACCTGTTGTTTAGAATGCGCTCGAGGATCTTTGACAAGGCTGGCAGGACAGAGATGGGCCTATGATTGTTTAAAAGTTTTCGATCCCCCGCCTTGTAAATTGGGTGTACAATAGCCCGTTTGAATTGGTCAGGAAAGACTCCCGTGGAAATGCTCAAATTACATATATAAGTGAGCGGCGGTATAATAAGGTGTTGGTATCGTCTTAATAAATTTCCAGAAATACCATCCCATCCTGTTGCACAATCTGCTTTTAGAGTGTTAATTAAATGCTCTACCTCTTGTTCATTCGTCTCCAATAAAACAAATGAATCACCACTACATCGTTCAACCAAGTAACGACTAGGATTAGACCGCGAGGCTTGCATGACTAGTGCAAGTGCACTAGAGTGTGCTAGATTAGGACCGGCGTTCACATAGAAATGGTTCACCAT